TTGCTTGACCTACTCGGCTTTGATCTGGTGATACCGTATGTATCATTGGGGTAGCGTTGCTAAACAAAGTAGTTCCGATAATAAACATGCATGATTCTTATAAAAGTCTACCGTAAATGTATAATAAAACATAATTTTTAGATGAACTGATGACTGTGACGTGGTTCAGAACATTGCAGCCTCTCTTGCAATGGAATTTTGAGGGTCCTCCTCAAAATTCTGCCCCAGTTTGATGGGTTGACGTTTCTGACTGTTGCTCGTGCGGCGATCGGCTGAAATTATTTTAGAATTTTGAGGGTCCTCCTCAAAATTCTGCCTCAGTTTCCAATTGCGAGGGAAATGAAAATTTTATTGAGTTGTGACCGAACCCATAGAGCTGCCTACGTATCCCCTCTTAAACGCGAACATGTCAGGCATAATTCAATTTACATCATATATAGGGGAAGCATAAAGATTGCACATAGTAACGCTTGACTGCATCCGAATTAATCGGCTTTGGTCAGACTTCTCCGTCCATTTCTGCGAGTATGAGGGCTCCTCCTGCCAGAACCTGGTGAACCATGTCTGGACCCTGCCAGTTGGGAGAGAATTTCCCTTTGGCTTTATCTTGATGCGAAAAGATTTTCTTTAACACCAGCTGTCCCGATGTGAATTGTCTTGGCTTGACTCTTTTGTTGAAGGTTCTGGACATTCTGTTCTGATAGAGTTGATCATGGCAAACTGCGTTCATTCTCTTTCCATCTATAAGGGCTAGTTTCTCAAAACCACTTTTTACCTACTCTGCGTTGTCGAGCTCAGCTTCTTGTATGATCCATAGGGAAGGAATTTCTACTTCAGTAGGAATGACAGCCTCTGTACCATAAACCAGCATATAGATGATTCCCCCGGTTGATGTGCGGACTATGGTACGATACCCCAATAGAGCAAATGATAACTTCTCGTGCCACTGTTTATGCTTTTCTAACATTTTCCTTAATATCTTCTTGATATTCTTGTTTGCGGCTTCTACCGCTCCATTCATTTGAGGCTTGTAGGCTATGGAATTCTTGTGTCTGATCTTGAAAGTTTCACACATAGCTTTCATCAAGTCGCTGTTGAGGTTATAGCCATTATCAGTAATGATTGATTCTGGAATCCCGAATCGGCAAACAATGCGGTCACGGACAAAGTCTGCCACGACATTCTTAGTCACTACTCTGTAAGATGCTGCTTTTACCCACTTGGTGAAATAGTCTATGACTACCAGGATAAATCTGTGTCCATTGGAAGCGGCAAGCTCGATTGGTCCAATAACATCCATCCCCTAGGCGGCCAACGGCCATGGTGAGCTTGTTGCATTACGATCATTTGGAGGTACCTTTATCACGTCTGCATGTATCTGACAGTGGTGGCATTTCCATACATACTGGATGCAGTTTGTTTCCATGGCCACATACTAGAATATAATTACCATTTAATCTACATTTTATTAAAAAATTTACCTCACACTATTACTAAGGCAAAACTTCGTATCCTTCTAAATTGTAGTAGATTTGGACCCCCTCTAAAATAGTTATTACAAATTTACAATCTATAGCACAAGTAAAAATCTTAATCACTTCAAATTATCATACAAACTTACTTGACCTATTGGCAGCCTTCTCAAATTTTATTGTCTCAAACTCATTTTAGTCATATGATAATAATTGTTTTTATACTCAATCAAAATATTCACAAAGCTTACCATATAAAAAGAACTAACAATTCAAATCATTTTCAGTAAATGATTTCCTTGTTGTGGTGGGGTTGTTATTCTTTATTTTTCTAAGAAGGTCACTACCAATCTTGTTCTTTCTTTTGCATCTTCTCCTTGTTCTTCTAAAAACAAATATTTAAGTATTATGAACCAAATGGAAACAAACTAAAATTTGGAGAAACAGTTCAGAAATTGTTGGAGACGTATGATTGTAAAAGAGTTATGAGTATTGGAAAATAAATAGATTAAGACAAAAAAAAACTAAGGAATATTGAAGAACATATATAGTGGTGAATCCAAAATTAAAAGTAGAAAATATCTTTGTGCATTTACCTTAGCTTGTTCAAAAACAAAGAAAGAATATTAAAAGTTTATCCATTTTTGGTGGCTTTCTTCTTCTGCACTCTATAGGCTTTGACATAGAGCAAAAAAAAGGCATAATAAGTAGGTAGAAAAAAGTTGTTGCAGGAGTACGCCGCTCCAGTTCCTTCGTAAATGTTTCAAGACAAAACCGTTCATATGTGGACCGCAGGTCCCAGCATAAATTTCCTCTAGTAACTTGGATGCTTCCTTTGCATCGACACACCTTAGTAATCCCAAATCAGGAGTCCTCCTATACAGGATTCCTCCGCCGTGAAAGAAATTGTTGGACAATCTCCGAAGTGTGCATTTCTTAGTAGGATTCGCAAGCTCTGGGTACTCTCCTCTTGCCAAATATTCCCTGATATCATGAAACAAAGGCTTTCCATCTGCTTCCTCTTAGACATGGGCACAGTAAGCTGGCTGATCATGGATTTTTACGAGAATGGGGTCAATGAAATTCTTGTCCGGATGTTGTATCATAGATGACAGGGTAGCCAATGCATCAACGAACTCATTAAAGACTCTAGGAACATGTTGGAACTCCGTCTTTGTGAACCGTTTCCTTAGTTCCTGTACATGATGCAGATGCGGGAGTATCTTGGAGTTCTTGGTTGCCCATTCTTCTCGTACCTGATGAATAAGTAAGTCTGAATCTCCAATCACTAGTAGCTCTTGAACATTCATGTCAATGGCCATTTTGATCCCTAGGTTGCAAGCTTCATACTCGGCTATGTTGTTGGTGCACGGGAACCTGAGTTTGGCAGACACCGAATAATGCTGACCAGTTTCTGATACTAGGAAAACTCCTATGCCAACTCCTTTGAAATTCGTGGATCCATCGAAAAATATTCTCCAACTGTCATAGGGTTCTCCAATGTCTTCTCCTATGAATGATACCTCTTCATCAGAAAAATACGTTTTCAGTGGTTCGTATTCTCCATCCACGGGGTTTTCGACAAGGTGGTCTGCCAGTGCCTGTCGCTTGACTGCTTTCTAAGTTAAGTAAATAATGTCAAACTCACTCAACAGGATTTGCCACTTGGCTAGCTTGCAAGTTGGCATGGGCTTCTGAAAGATGTACTTCAAAGGATCCATCCTCGATGTGAGATATGTAGTATAGGCACAGAAGTAATTCCTCAGCTTCCGAGCTACCCAAGTTAAATCATAATAGGTGTGTTCCAATAGAGAATACCAGGCCTCATACGGGGTGAACTTCTTACTGAGATAATAGATGGCCTGCTCCTTCCTCCCCATTTCATCATGCTGCCCAGAACGCAACCGAAAGCTCCATCAAATACTGCAAGATTGAGTAATAAGGGTCTACCTGGCTCAGGCGGGACTAAGACTGGTGGTGTTGATAGGTACTCCTTGATTCTGTCGAAGGCCTTTTGGCAGTCATCAGTCTATTCGGTAGCGGCGTCCTTTTTCAACATCTTAAAGATTGGCTCACAAATAACTGTAGATTGTGCTCTAAATCAGCTGATGTAGTTGAGCCTCCCCAAGAAACTCATTACATCCTTCTTGTTATTTGGCGGTGGCAATTCTTGAATAACTTTGACTTTTGTCCGATCCAGTTCTATTCCTCGGAAACTCACAATAAACCCAAGCAATTTCCTAGCAGGGACACCGAATACGCACTTTGCAGGATTCAGTTTCAGGTTGTATCTTCGCAATCAATTGAAGAACTTCCTCAGATCCTCCATGTGATCATTGGCCTTCTTGGATGTGATGATATTATCATCTACATATACCTATATCTCCTTGTGTATCATATCATGGAAAATGATAGTCATGGCCCTCATGTAGGTGGCCCCTATATTCTTCAGGCCGAACAACATCATCTTGTAATAGTATATTCCCCACTGCGTAATGAAAGTCATTTTCTCAGCATCTTCTTCATCCATCCAGATCTGATGATAACCAGCGAAACAATTTACAAATGACTGTAGTTCATGCTTGGCGCAATTGTCAATCAGGATGTGTATATTTGGCAAAGGGAAGTCGTCTTTCGGACTGGCCCGATTGAGATCCCGGTAGTGTACACAGACTCTGACCTTCCCATCCTTCTTTGGCACTAGTACGATGTTGGATAACCATGTCGGGTACTCTACTACCTTGATAACCTTATCTTTGACCTGCTTGGTGACTCCTTCCTTGATTTTCAGACTCATATCAGGTTTGAACTTTCTGAGCTTTTGCTTTACTGGTGGACACGTTGGATCGGTTGGTAGTTTGTGAGCCACAATAGACATACTCAGACCAGTCATGTCATCATACGACCAGGCGAATATGTCCTCATATTCCTTTAAAAGCTCTATGTTTTCTTCCTTTTCTGATAGCGATAGGGGAACGCTGTTTCGTGTTTCCTTAACGTTTTCTGCATCTCCGAGGCTAATAATTTCGGTCTCGTCCAGGTTGGACTTAGGTCTGTTCTCAAAGTTCTCAACTTCTTTGACAATCTCATCTGGTATGTCATTTTCATCTAAATCAATGTCCGTTTTTTGCGTTGTCCCATTACATGTCACAGTCATTGGTCACTACCAGAAAATGTGCCTATGGCAACAGCTATTTTAACGGTTATAACTGTTACAGTAGCATTTAGGTGATATCAGCACACTTTAACTATAGAATCGTTGCAATTGTAAAACAACCGTTGCCATAGATTCATCTGGCGCAACGGTTTTATAAACCGTCCCAATAAAACTATCTACGGGAATGCTTTTGTTGTAAAAATTTCTATTGAAACGGTTATTCCCCCCCCCTCTTATTTTCCCTCGTGAATTTTATTACACCCCCTAAAACAACCGCTATTCATTTTATTTTTTAATAATTTTAATAATATAGTATTAAATAAAAAACTTTTTTGGCACTTAATTTCCCCATTAACTGCGATACCCCCTCTGCTAGCCAATACCTCCAAAGTAAAAACACCGAGTCATCTTCTTCTTCTTCACTGATATCCGCCCCCATCTCTCTCTCTCCAAAAATCTTCTTCTTCACTGATACACTGCTAAAAACTCCGATACTCCCATATCTCTCTCCGATGCCCTAAAAAACCCTCAATTTTCTCCAGTCTCCATAATCATTTACAAACTAAGGAGAAACAATTCGGAGACCCAAAAATACGAAGGTAATAAGATTTTTGTTGCTCTCTTTGCATTTTCTGGCTCTTAATCGAGATATCTGGCCTTATTCTTTAGTTCAAGCGAAATAAATTTGGTATTATATATCACGTTTTAGATCTATATAAACTCGTTCTATAATCCTTTAGTCAGTTTGACATCTGTCTTTACACTTCAGATATACTAGTGTCGATGGCTAAATTCTCGTGGTATTTTATTAAAGGTTGAATATGTAAACAAAGTTGGATTTTGGGTATTTGAAGATTTTTGGAATTATTTTTAAACAAATTGTTGGTTCAAAGTTGCTAAGCGGGTTAACGGAGAAGACGACCTAGGATTCGTTATTTTTGTGAGTGTCTGAACAAATTGGTTTTGGGGTATTATTCTAATTGGTGTCGACAAGTTGTGGCTGAAGCTTGGGTTCATTTGTTTGAGGATTGCTCGACAATCAAATTTCTGGTGCTGAAGCTCGAAGAACAGCTTCAAATTTCTGGAGTTGAGTGCCTGAAGCTATTGCGTAGCCTATGCACTCCTCGACGCATCAGGTATGATTTCTCTATGCTTAAACTTGTGTCATTTTCTGGATTCTGAGGGATTTGTGATTGATTAATCGAATAGAAGACTAAACTTCATTACTATTATTTGTGATCGATCAATTTGAATCTGTGAATTCGACTCACGTAGTTTAAGCTTGATTTTTTTTGAGTATTGAACTGAATTCGTAGTTCGACTTGAGGCTGCCATTGGTTGAAACTATTTGCTGTAAAATTTCTTGGAGATTGTTGAACTGATTTTGTGAGTTCGACTTGATAGTTTCTCTTGTTGTTGGAGTTCTAATTCATTGTTGTTAGTTGAATTCTGGAATTGGTATTGACTGAAATACTTTGGACTCATTGTTGGGATTGATTGAGTTTGAATTCATAAGTCGACTAGAAGTTGCTAATGAATTATTTTGTGGAGTATCCTCATAGCTGTTGAATTGAATTTTGTTCTTGAGTTTCCCATTCCACTTCACTGTTTGAGTCACAATTTTCTGCCCCTGACAACTGCTAACATTCAGGGACTAATTAGGGATACTTTGGTTGAGCTATCTAAATTAGCTGTTTGTTTGGTTTAAGTGTTCTGCACAACTGAGCCACAAATTCTACTCTGCTTCTCCTCTATTAAGCTGCTGAAAATCTGGATTTGCTTGGGAAACTTTGTTGCTTGTAATTTGAGATCAGTATTCAAGTGTATGCTCTCAAATTCCTCAACCTAAAGCATTGTAATGATCCAATTTAGTAGACACTATTCTTTCCTAATCTGCAGCCTTAAATTATATTCTGCTAATTTACTTGAGTACTAACTTTCTACAAGTATAAATACTTGTAAATTTTGAGCTTAAAGGAGGTCTTTTGATCATTGCTCTTCATCACTACCATAACTTTTCTTTTACTGTGATATGCTGTATTCATTGCTCTTCGGCTACTTCTTTGCTTGTTGCAAGCCAAAGAAAAGTTTGGTTTCTTTTATTTCACTCGACTTTTGATTTCTTTTATGAATTTGGTACTCCACAAACCAGTTAGCTTCCTGAACGACGCATTATGATTCCTTAACGTGTTGGTTGTTGTTAGAATAGACTAGTCCCTCTCTTTAGTTTTGTATTCTGTAAAACTCTTGGCCACGCCGAGATGCTGAGTGCCATACGACACTCATTGAAATTATGCCAATATAATAACCAGGTACGTCACTTAACCCCTATGTGTTGTGCCCCTCGTATGGATCCCTGATTCGCTGTACATTAGAAGTCACCTCTTAGGTCCAACTATTTGGATTTTAGTCATTTAGATATCATGACTTTATACTTAATAGAACTTACTTGCTGTTGAATACTACAAGATGGGATGTTTGAGTTCAATTCAATCACTTAAATATCATGTTTTTTAGGACCTACGCCATTCATGCATGCTTCTGTTACAAATCTGAAGTTTCTATTGTTGTTTTTCTTCTTGACTTGGTTTAACTTGGACATATTCACCTATACATTATGTATTTAGAAGATAATGATTTAACTAATAATAGTAAAAAAAATTCTTTGGAAAATAGTCCAAGTTGTCTGCTTTCTTGGTGCGTTTGTTGCTTCTGTTTGGTTGCAGGGCCTAGACCTAATAGTTTTGCCCAAAGTTCAACTCTTCACACCTGAGTTTGGGTAACAGGGGGATTAGAAAAGCTCATAAGAGTCTATGAGGAGTCTGCCAAAGTTTGAAGTTCAGTTAATTTCGTAGGCTCTAGTTATAAGCCCTATCCAGATACCATGTAATAACGGAATGTAATTGTGAAACGGGCTTACTTGAGATAAAGGATATTTCATGCTTGTGTGCTATGTGATTACCTGCTGTTATTTGCTTTCGTTTCTTCGTGAAAACCTGTTAACATGTTAAATTGGATAGCTTTTGCATTTGAGCTTTCTGTGGTCTTGGTCCTCAGTAACAATTTTTACTAGTATGTTGGGCTCACTTTAAAAGATAAAGACCTGTCATTTGTCTTTGACCAAAGCTTCTATGCGTTCACATTTTTCTGTTCCTTTTAATTATTTTGAAATGGGGCGCGACTAGGAATAGCATTTAAGTTTGCAGATTAGGAAAGAAAAGCATTTTAATGATCAATTGATTATATTGTTTGTGTTAAAATACTTTTTGGCTCTCATGTGTATCTAATTTTGAACAGAGGAAAGCGGATCATGAATCTGGAAGGGCGCTCTAGTAAAAATAAAAAAATTAACAAAATGCATTGCAGCTGGATCGCTTGCATCTTTGCGAAACCTAAAGGTTTCGTCATTGAAAACAAATAGAGTATTAAAGCTCCAAGGTCACTGCCTCTGCATTCTACTTCTACACCAGCACAAACAGTACATGAGCAAGTGCAACAAATGCCACTAAACTCTACACCTTCTGCATCACAAGCAGTGCGTGAACAATTGCAGCATTCCACTGCTACAGGTGGATCACTGCCTTTGCATTCTACTTCTGCACTAGCACAAACAGTACATGAGCAAGTGCAACAAATTCCACTGAACTCTACCTCTCTTGCATCACAAGCAGTACGTAAGAAATTGCAATAACTACCATTGGATTCCACCCCTCGTACTTCACAAACGGTACAAGAACAAGTTGAGGATTCTTCCAATCATGAAACAAACGAGCAATCCGAGGAACAAGACAAGAACATATAGATTTCAATCGTCAAATTCAATAACGTAATGACTTTTGGTGATTATTCTTACTTCATATTAATGTAGGTCCTTCTGCCGAAAAAACGAAAAAGAGGAAAAACTCAGATGAAAAGTGTTCATGGTAGGAAAGAGCGCAAGCAAATTGTGCTAAATGAGAACAATCAACCCATAGGTCCTACTGATGATGATGTAAATGAGTTGGGTAGCTTCCTTGGTATATTGGCAAGGAATGCGACCTTTGTCCTCTTAATGTGTTTAATTGGAGGAAACTTGAGACAAAAGAAGATATGTAGAAATATGTCAAGGTTTGAAATTCGCAATATCCAATCGGTGTATGTGGATATTTCATATTGTTTACACCAACCTAACTGCTCTAAATTTGTAGGAAAAATATGACATTCACGAAGGTGCAAAAAAGTGGGTTTTTCAATCAATTTCAAATGCTTGAAGAAAGTACAAAAACTAGTTATATAAAGACCATTTTGAACCCTATGAGAATGACGAACTTCGAATAGAGAATAGGCCGGTTGATGTTCCGGATTCTCAATTTAGGAAACTTCTTAGATATTGGAGCTCTGATACCTGCGAGGTAAAACTGAATATTGTTCCATGATTTGCTTAGAATGTCTGATTTTTGTTTATATAGAAAGCATGTTCTTAGGCGAGAAATATAGTTGCTCTTCAGCTTAATTATTATGGTTGCATTTTGTGAAGGAAACTCATAATCTGGTTAAATTTTTAACTATGATGTGCTATACTACGCTAGGTACTTTATTTATGGATAACTTGCACACATCTTTTATTTTCATGCCCCAATGCATTAAATTGAGTTGCTAATCCCTTCCTAAATGCAACATGCAACATCTAAACTAGGAAGTAAGAACTGTTCTGATTTTAAACTAGAAGTAGGAACAGTTAAGATGTTTAAACTACTTAATCAAAAAATATAATTAGACAAAGACAAGTCTCCCGCCAATAAAGCATTAACCACATACAGTTACAAGTACTGAGAGACGCAGAGGGTAAGAGATACAACTAGTGATCATGGAATACTCAGTGCAGTGTTAAAAAAAGCGTCTGCTTCCTCGCTTTAAGCGAGAAGCGAAGCGGAGCGATGGGTTGGTCGCTACCCCAACTAAAAGCGGCTCAGGTACAGAAAAGCGACCACTTCTCTCTAAAAAGCGAGAAGCAATGAAGCAGTTGGGAGTGGAAGAAGCGATCGCTTCTTGAATTAAAAGGCCCAAACGAGTCTTTTTCAATTAAAAAACCCAAATCACTGAGTCTTCTATTTTAGACACTTCTTCAGTAGCAAACTAAGGTTCTAAACCAGCCTTTTCTTCGTCAAAAACAGCTTTCAGCCTAAACGTCCAAAAAGTGCAGAAATGCTGGCAAATTTTTTTCAGAACCAGAATGTGCATGATAGCACTCTGAGTGTATATTTGACAGTACGTACATGATAGCATCATCTCATCATAGTGTTGGCTAGACACTTACAATGTATATTCGACCGTATCCTCAATGTTTCTTTTTTGTTGTAGAAAATGAAAGAAACCAACATTGAGAATCGCAAAAAGTTGAAATATCTACACACTGCTGGCAAAAAACGTTTTGCTAGAATATACGAGGTTTGATATTTTTTTTTCTTATTATTCTTTTAAATATGAACTTGCTATGCATAATCTGAACTATTTTATACCACTTTTTATGTAACCAGGAAAAAAAGAAAGAAACTTCTGAACCTCTATCAAGTAAGGACAAATTTGTGGCTACAAGAAAAAGAAAGCACGATCGAGTATACAAGGCCTGCAGATACTCTTAATAAAATTGTACGAGTTACTAATTTAAAGTTTGTTGATATCATTTGTCTGTTATTAGTTATTGACTCAATTTTATATAATTTCTAATCTAAAATTGACTCAATTTGGTCTTGTAGGCTGAAATGGATAGAATACAATCAACACAATAAACTGAAGATGGCAGTCAATCAGTTGACGCGTTTGCATCCGTCATGGGACCTGATCATCCAGGACGCCTAAGATTGTACGGCCATGGGGTTACCAAGACTTCCTTAAAAAGAAAAGTGGGAGATATTGGAACCTCTTCAAGTTCTACCGATGAGATGCTGCAACAAAAAATAGTGGAAATGGAAGAAAGGATGCAACAAAGAATACATGAAAAGTTCAATAAACAAAAACATGCCATGGAACTATAAGTTGCAGTTAACATCATTTCACAACTTAAGAGTCTCAATCCAGACTTACAGGTTGATCCCAACATGCTAGCTTTCAATGCTCGTTCACGTGGAGATGCTTCCTCTGCATAACAAGTTGATGTGCAACTAATCAATCATTTATCTACTGGGAGTAATAATCGAGGTCAGTATGTACTCTTCTTCTCTTCCTTCTTCTTCTTCTTCTTCTCCTTCTGTTGCTTTTCTGCCACTGCTCTCTCTGATAAGGCTTTTAACCGTGCTAGTTGATGAAATTTCTTATTCTTTTTTTGGTGAAAGTATTGCATTATTCTATACAAGTTTGTTGTGGGGCTAAGTGCTCATTTTTTCCTAATTTAATATTATCCAATGTGGCTAAATTTGAGAGCCTTTTAGTTTTCCTGTGTAGCCTGCTGTGGTGTTGGCTAAATTCTTTTATTATAATTTTCAGCCAATGAGGTTAAATTTGAGATCTTTTAGTTTTTCTTGGTGCATGGGCAGAGTGTTTGGTTGTGCAATGGCTTGGAAGTGGAAATAACACTACAACAACAACATCTCAGTATAATTCCACAAGTGGGTCTAGAGAGGGTAATATGTACGCAGACCTTACCCCTACCCCAAGGGGCAGAGAGGCTGTTTCCAGGAGACCCTCGGCTCAAGAGAACAACAAGAGATAATATATTAGTACTATCAATAGACTCATAGTAAATAACATAAAATACATAAAGTATACTTTATTATGAGTCTATCAGAGAGATATATTATCTTGATTACTTTAATTCTTATGAGTCCCCCCAACCTACAACCTTAAGGAAGTGGAAAGAACACTATGTTTTAATATTCTCCAACTTGATTACTTTAATTCTTGTGAAACTAGTTGGCGTGATTAGTAAGTTAATTCCCTTGGGATTCGATTCCGGACTTGTAAATTAGATTATATTTGTAACGACTGCTTAGTCCTTTTTTAAAAGACATAATTGGGTGTGATCAATATATTAGCTCTACCCCAAAACAAAATCTTTATGCTATAAGGGGCCCCTAATTTTTGTCGTTATTTTTTGGGAGCTCTTCTTGTACTTTTCTTCGATAGAACATGAAAGAATGCCTGCTGCACGTTAGTAGTTTCACCCTGGTGGTTGTACAAACTAGTTCAGTAGATCTAATGATCTTTGAACCTTATTCTCTTCCATGGGTGGGTGTATCCTACTTTCAAGCATTTATTTTGCTGTAGCAGTTTGTTGCTAGTATATGGTTGGTACCAAGAACTAGTACTTCAATTATAACCCAAAAAAAGAAAGACAGAAACAAAAGTCCTGGATACATTTCTAGTGTAGTAAAATTTGATTGAGAAGTTGAATATGATATTCAGAGATGATCAGTCTGCTGAAAATATGAAATTGACACAAGTTACATTGAGCTGTTGGAGCATACATACAAACTACATAGCAAGGTAATTTAGTAAGCCATCACAAGTTTACTGTATGACTTGAACATAATCAAACAACACAGGAAATTAAAAACACTAAAATGCAACAGCTAGCATTAATGAGGGGAGGCTGCAGCATATATGATGAGATTCAAAGTGCTCACGACTTTATAATTTCAAGGCTCATTTCGCTAGGATCCTTTGCTTGTAATTCAACTTGAATTCCATCTAATTCTCTCTTGAATTTGTCTTTTGAGCTGGCGTACACCATCTTCATCCTCACCTTTGATGTGTCAGGAGACCAACCCATTCTCTACTTACAAAGTTACAATTAGAGAAAATTCTACTATACCCATTTTTATTTAATGACTTTATTTATTCTCTTTTGTAGGTGGAGCAACTGAAGAAAGGGAAGATGGAGAATGTGGAGAAACTGAAGAAAGGGAAGATGGAGATAGTGAAGATCTAGACATTACTTAAGAAGAACTTTGAGTTATTGTCGATATTCTTGGAGTCTTTTGTTATAACATTTGAAACTTTAACTTTTGAAGTGTTGAACTGTAAAACTTATATAATTGGGTTAAAACATTTTGCTATTATCGTTATTCCTAGCTTATTGGATATGAAAGATTATGAAGTGTTTTATCTTTTTATTTATATAATTTTCAGGTTATAATTACAAATATTTTCAGGTAGTAATGTCAATTAAACGTTTAAAATAGCCTAATAGAACCGTTGCAATAAGCACAAATGTCGTTGACATATACATTCTAAACCGTTCCGATAGGTCTTGCAAACCGTTCCATAAAGTGTGACAAACCGATGCAATTGGCAGTTGAAACTGATGCAATAGAAACAAAATCGTTACGGTAGCGCAATGAAACTGTTACAATAATTGTAAATAAACGTTGCAATAGCATACATAACCGTTGCAATAAACTATATTGTAACAGTTTCCAACCATTGTAGTAAATAATATGGTAACAGTTTACAACCGTTGCATAAACTATATGGTAACGGTTTTCAACCGTTGTAGTTGAAATGAACACTCGTTGCTTCAGACAAAAGAAAAACCGTTGTGATAGCTTGATCTATAGCAACGGTGCGGTCAACTGTTGCCAAAACCGTTGTTGTAGATCTATTGGCACGCGAGCGGATGTCACGATCGCTGAACCGTTCCAATACAGCTATGGCAACGGTTGGCCTATCAATTGCAACGGTTTACCTGCCATTGCCATAGGCCTATTTTCTAGTAGTGGGTTCATCAAGATAAGTAATAGTAATGCTGTATAAGTAAAGTAATGAGAGAAAACGATAATGAGTGTTGATTTATGAGAAAAAATCAAAATGCTTTGATAAATTGCATAACTGTTTGAACATTGAAGGTTTTATTGCGGAAATTGAAAAATGTGAAAAGAAAATCATTTAGTAAATAAAATAGTGAATGATGTTTGTTTTAGCCTTGCTACCCCGTTGCTTGTCGGGCTTTGGTTGTCCTGATGGTCTAATTGTTGAGGTGTTCCCCTCTACTCACAGCCTGTATGGAAGGGCCTTCTTCCCCTCCTCCTCGAGAACAACACAACAATCCATGTCATTGTCTTCTAGGAACAAATTCTTCACCGCTGCAAGTCCTTCTTCTTCTTCGTCTGACCCATAAACAATGTCAGCCTATTGGAAAGTTTTCT